GGTGAATGGGTTTATTGATAAATATTTTACAGATATGTGTCAAAATTTAATGGTGATACTTAGAGGTCCTACTCACATGGGTGTGGGAGGGTCTCATAGTATCATTACTCATATATATATATATATATATATATATAAGGGTTATCATCATAAGAAAAGTACAGATTCAAAGAAATGATTCAAAGAAAGTTTAATAATATTGCGGAAACAATATTAGACAACAGACAAATAAAGGAGTATATATATTAACAATAACCCAATTTATATAACAATATGCCAAATTTGTATACATATAACAATTTTAAACTGCATAAGGAAAGAACTTACATAAAGCACTTGCAAAAACTGGAAAAGAGCTTCCACTCTTCTGGACAGTAGCTGGATAGAAGATCCCAGTGACAATCACCCATATAGCTTTTGAACACTACCAGGCTTGTTACAAACACTTAAGCAAACTTCAATTAAACACTCAAACAAACACTCGAATAAACACTCAATACTTCTCCCTTTCTTCCGATGCCCCTTACTGAGTAGCTAAACCCGTTCTTATAGCACTTGGCGGACGTCAAACAAATATTTCAAGTTCATAAAGCAGATCTTGATGTGTTGAAAAAGGTGTCAGTGTCAGATGCTGTCGAGGGAAAAGACATAAAGCAGTCTTTAATAGTATCTTGAGCTGACAAAAAGGTGTCGGTGCCAGATGCTGTCGGGGTAAAAGACATAAAGCAGTTTTCAATAGTATTTTGAGTTGACAAAAAAATATTACTAGTATTTTGAGCTGACAAAAGGTATGAATAGTAGGTTACTATTTTGTCGGTATTTTGTTTTATTATGAGGACACGTGTGCTATGTAGACTGCAATCGATCCGTCCTCTCTGTTGTGTTATTGCGAGATTCCATAATCCATGTCTTCATTTTCTTGTTCATAAGTTTCTTCATTTTAAGTTGATGTTGACATGGCTTCTTCTTCATCATCAAATATTTGTAGCAGCTTTTTCTTGAGCTCTTTTTTGGTTGCCTTTGGATATTGCTGACTAATTTTATTTAGGTAGTCAGTCATATTCATTTCTATATTGGGGGGTAGAGATAGTACTCTTTTCATTCTTATTTTATCATGATTTAAATAGTCATTTTCATAAACATCCCACTATTTTATATATATTTGTTTTCCTAACTCAGAAAGGTATTCCCAATTATTTGTA